TTTAAACTTTTAAAAACTCAGGTGTATAATATTAAAGTCATATTCAGGAAACAATTAGTAGGATAGATAAAATAAAACATTGGTTTATAGGTACATGTTATGTTTAAACACAAAGAAAACAATTGACAAAACTAAGCGAAAATGATTCACTGTTAATCGTTAACCCAATTGGAATCATTGGGGTGTACAGGCAAACAAAATATTTATTTTAAAAACCTTCAGTCACTGAAAAAATTGTAACCGAAAAGGCTTGATGGTGACAGTCATAAGATAGAAAATTTGATTGATAAAATATGCTTGCATATGTTAAATATTTTTGTTTTTTAATTAATCAAACCATCAAGTAAGGTAGTGTTCCAAATGTTTTAGACATTTACATTTAATATTGTATAAATAAAATTTACTTTTACAGTGTCTTTGTATCAGATTCATTATCCAAAGTGATTCATTACCATGGCCAATCGATTTTTCGTCATATTTTAAATTCCTTGATTTGTTTTCAAATTTTCCTTCAAAGGAGTTTACTGATTTATCTGACTTTTAAAGCAGAGAAAGGAAAAAAAAATAGATTGGTTATAAATGTTTGAAGTTAAATTATTTCTGCTCTTGGCTTCTGATTGGATGGATGCCTTTCTATAAAATTGTGGTCTTTTTACAGTCTATACGGAATACGGAAATTAAACGTCACAGATTCAATATATTCCCCCACTAGAATCACAGTATAAACCCAAAAATCTATTACGATCGCAACTGTTACATTACACATAAACCTTCCCTTCTTGGAAGATAATTCTTTATATAATGTATTGATCAGACGTGCCAATTGTCTTCAGGGCAAAGGAGATAAGCTTTAAGAAATATTAATTTACCCCTGTTGTAACTGTGCTTGAGTTACAATACATCTTATCAATATGCAAATACATCATATTTTAGTTCTTGAGCAATTTCATTTATTCAACGTTGGTTGAACAGGAGGAAATTACATTTCTCTGTAACAGATTAAATTTTTAAATTTTATTTTGTGCGTTCAAAAAATCTTAATACTGTTAGTTCATATCTGGTTTTTAATCTATTTGAAAATTAGCAGAACGGATAAAATCATCGTTTTCATAGTTTTAATCATGTAAGTAACTAATTTAATATAGCAAGTAATACCATTGTTGCAAACATTTAGCCGCTAGTGATAAATTTCTACTCTACTTATTTATGCAAAAAGTGGCATTTTAAACCATAAAATAATAGACATAACTTATCTACTTTTATTTTAATGAAAATCCACCATTTTTCAGTCTCAGTTTGAACAAATTTGATTTATTTTGATATACTGATGATTCATCACCTATTTTAGGAATTGAATTTTCTCTGTGTGACATTAAGCATAAAACTCATGCAGAATAGTGTTTGACCATGTTACTAGCGGTAACTAAATCAGCATCCGTTGCTTTTCCCGTGTTTACATATAACTTTTTCTTTTAATGTAAAACACTGAGTTGAAATATTCTAGGTGATAAACCTTGATGAAGGCTGAATATCTCTAAATCACTCTAGTCCACAGTTATTTAAACACTCTTTGACATTTCACCATTTTCAGCTTTGGTCTATGAAATATGAACCTATGAACATAACTAACACCTGTGAATGCTCACAGACCTGCGTGGAAGTGGATGATATATGCCAAAACAAGTCCGGTAGACAAAAATAGCAAAAATAGATAGAAAAGGGAGATTAGAGACAAACTACTTGTTTATTACATTTACAGTCAATTAAGTTTGTAATGTTCTGTAGAACCTGTTTAATTTTCTCTTTCAGTTAATGATTATAAGTTTTCTTTGCTTTCTTCAGAATGTACATGTAAGGTTAATTTTTATTCTTATGTTCTTCAGCGATTTAATGTGTCCTGTTTTCTCGTGGATTTCTAGGACACATGTATTGTCTGTGACCAAGTATTTCAAGATCCAATATTTACCTGCATTCTGCTCGAAAGATAGTTTTTTAAACTGAATTTTCTTCTTTGGTAAAGCAACTATTGCTCATTTTCCCTAAATATCCTGGAATAAATTCTGTTTTACATTTGAAAGATAATTGGTTTAGTTTTTCTGATCATGACAGCTTGAAAAAACAATATTTGCTTTTTCAGGTTAAATCTTTCATGAATGTGTGTGAATGAAGTTTTTTTTTTTTTATGTTAGTTTAAATCATCGTGAGGTCAGGTTGAAATTTATGCCTCTTAATGTTCACTTATTCTGGATATGAGCCAGATTTCAGCTTGACCCCTACATGATTTACAACATGATCAAATGAAATTAAAATGTGTCTGGCCAAGGCCAAATAAAACTAGAAAGACGAATGAAATCGTTAGTAAAAAATGTGTTCATTAAAAAATTGAATAATATTTTTTTGGTTTCAAAATTATAATTTGTAGTACAATTAATGTATAATTTGTTGTACAAAGGATTAATTGTCATTTATTAAATAATCATTTTAAAATGCTTTCAGATGCTGGCAGAATCTGGACAATTTATCTATTTCCACCATCACTTTTGAAATTTAAGAGGTGAGACTCACTCATTTTATTAATAATTTAATGATAATATTTTGAAAAATTTTAATAGGGCGATTGTATTATTTAAATAAAAAGCGTGCTCTTATTGATTTTATTTATAATTACATTTATAATTTATTACTCGTTAAATTCACACCCTGATAATAACTGACATACTTTCTTGCTCACTGACACATTTGACCTGTTACTGAAAAAAAAAGGACGAAGCTTTTTTAAGATAAGATAATGACTTATTTTAATTAAAATTACATGTTAATAACTAGGATTGAAATTGTATAAATAGTTCTAACTTTCTCTTTCATCAGGAAATACTGTACGTATTATTCACAAAATGGAAACAAAGCATATATTTTGTTGTTGTGATAAATGAATATCTCTTAAGGTCAGAATGATAAACTTTTTCGTCCGCTTTCCCCTTATTTTTGACATCCTGAGCGATTTTCTTAAAGTTTTCATGAAAATTCGCAATGTCCTCTTAATCTTTGCCAATTTAGGCAAACTTTTGATGTCTAAAAGTAAATCGGAGCAAGTAAGTGGGGATCATTATTCCAGCTACAAACTTTTTCTTCCGGATTATTGTCAACTAAATTATTTCTGAATGTGGCCTGTTGCCAGTTCTAATTCTAAATTTACCAGTTTTGAATGAAATGGCATCTATTATTCTCGTGTGATTTTTTTTTATACCTTGATTCTTAAAATTTTATTTTACATATCCCATCAATGGATATGTACCACCTACATCACAGGTAATAGTGTTATTTTGTATTTTTTTATAATTTTCTTATTGTTAAATATTCATAAAAATGTTATTGTGGTTCAATAATGTACTTTTTTGAAGAAAGAAATAAGCAGAATGATATAAACACCCCCGTGTAGAATTCTCTTAACTGAAATAACCTTGATAATGACAATGGACAAAGTTTTTATTGAGCTTTTTGATTAGCTTTCTGTTACAATTGATTAGTACAGCTTCAAACTGAATGGTAAAACAATGCACACCGAAGCGAAGTTGGAGCCCAAAGAAATTTCATTTCTTAAAAGAAGGCAATGGAGATCCATAGATTTTATCCATAAATTTACAGAGGTAGAGTTCACGTTTTTTAATTATGTTCTGTCGTTCAACCTGGTGTAATTAATTTTTGATATAATACATTTTTTTTTTTAAATTTAGGTTTTTTTCATTCAGGTGTGTAACATGACTTCAAATAGATTCTAGACAAATTTGGCCAGCAATTGTTGCTTATTTTGATTAGTAGTCCATTTATTTAAACCAAAAAAGTAAAGTTTTTGAAAATTGCTTTCTGTTTTATTTTACACTTTGAAAAGAATGATTGATACTATAAAAAAAACTACTTAAGTTTAATCTGATAGAAGTTTATTTTGAACATTAAGTGTACAGGTGTCTTTGATAAAATTAGTTTAAATTATATAAAAGTCAATAAACAATTATTGGCATATTTAAACAATGATTGATGTATTTTTGGATAATTAGAGAAAAGTGAGAAATGAGAGATAAATGTAGCAATTGAATATTCTTGTTAAAAATTAACTAAATGTGACGTGTGTTCGAAGATTCTTTCAGATTTTGTTTTCTGATACCACAATTTAATATCAATTATTACAAAATGTTTCTTATCAATGCCTTTGCCCTAAGATTGGGTCTTTCCTTTGTTTGTTTATACTATTGTGTGTTCATATACACATGTTGGAGACTTCTGTTTCAGTTAAACATGTTCTTTAATAAGAAAAGTCTTGTTTTTCTATTTTAATGTGTTATAGAGATTATTTGGTTTTGTAATATATTAGCAAGTATTGCTGTGAAACCTGGCTCTACATTGTCTGAAAAAACTTTTTTCAAGCATTCTATTTTGTGATTATCAGTGATAATTGCGTCGATTATCATTATCTTTAAGTGATCTTTAAAAAAGTGTAGTCGTTATGTCCATCTCTTCGAGCTTCGATGAATCTTCCCCATTGACGAATTCTTTCCGTCCGGTGATAAGTTATGGGAGTGTGTTCAATTATTACAATTTTCTGCGTACTGGCTCTCTACCTCTCAAGGTACATTTCATGAGATTCACAACAAAAAATGAACAACAAATTAACTTAAAAATGTAAACATGTTAATACCACAATGGGTTTGCAGGAATGTTTAGATTAAATAAACAAGCTTGTATGGCAATCTTTAACAAGTTTGGTATATGTATATTTGACATATTTAGCTTTTTTTACATGAAAAATAATTCATAGAAAATCTGTAATTAAAACTTTTGTTTTAAAATATCTAATTATTCCAATGTTATAAATATTAAGTAAAGGGTGTGAGCTTTCTATTAACCAAGGATTTTATTTACAATCCATTGATTATTGAAGCCTTACATACATTTCACATTTATCATTTTGACAAATATTGTATTATTAAGATTAACTTATGCAAGGATTTTTGTAGTTTAACACTGTATAAGATAAAAGTGAATTTTCTCGAAATAACAGTACTTGTTCATTTCATTTTTCATGTATTAGGGTAAAAGACTAGCCTGACCGGTCCTTCCATTGAATGAATCATGAATTAAAAATATTCCTTTTGTCTAATAGTACAAAGTATGTGTAATACATAATAGTATGTAGTGGAAAATGAAGATTAGATAAACCCCGATTCACCATTGGATCAACCAACCAAATAAATACTTTTGTTTACAACCACGTTGTGATTTTTATCATTTGGTTTATCAATTTAAAAGACATCTATGTAGTAGAGTAGTATTTAAAATGTGTTAGGGGCTCTTATAGACAAAAGTCATCTTATAAAGTGGGAATTTCTTTACTTCTTTAAATATAACATTGGTTGGTGGCAGCTTGCGGTTTAACTCACAAAGACAATTAAGTTTCAGAAAGTGCAAAGTCTCATCAGCTATTTAAAAAAAAGTATTGCATCTAGTTACACTGCTGAACAAATTTTTAGCCTAGCTCACAGTAGGTTGATATTATTAACTGGAGCACTTGCATGATGTTATCAATATTTTATATATCTCTTTAAATGGGTGATATGCTATCTTAATTCGCTCTAGAACATCATTACCTAAACGGTCCTTGATGAACCAATTTAATCAAAAGAGGATGCCAGAAAGTCTGAGATCGTTTTATAAGGTATTGTGTTTTGATCCTCTAATTATATTTGGCTCCATTAATTGTAGAAGTTTTTTGTTATATTATTTATTTGAATTTAAATGTTGTAAAATCATAAAGTATTTTGAATTTGCACTTGTTTCTTGAGTTAGGTTTTGTAATTGGAGTTATTGTAAAAACCTCAAATTTTAATTTTATTAAAAACTATTCTCATTCTAACTCGCTTAGAATGGAGTAAAAAATAAAATACATAAAGATAAAAATATTTCATTAAAGGAGTATTGAGTAACTGCATAAACCATTTATTTCCAAAAACAATTATTTAAAATTAACAAAAGTAAAACTATCATTTATTTGTTTATTTGCATGTTTCACAAGAATGAAACTGGAAAATCGAGTCATGAAAAGTTGACCGCTGAGGCTATAAACCGATCGGTTCATCATGGAGACAGGAGGCAGGAAAAGACTGCTCTCCCTCCTTAATCTAGAATGTAGTGGTTGGGACTTACCAGTGCTTACTGTAACTGCGCCTGCAGATCAAGCCTCTAGAAAATTTAGTTTCGCAAGCCTCAACCTAAGGCGTCTCTCTGTGACGGTAAAAATGTTTGAGAGTGTGTTTTGCATTCTGAAGCGATTTCATTTGCTTGGCTCTCTACCAGATTTTTAAATTTTACCTGTTAATATAACAAGTTCTTTGTTTCTATAAACTCAGATCCTGCAATAGTTTTAACAGTTTCAGTTTGTATTTTACTGAAATAACATTTATTCTAAAGTGGTTTAAAGCATGGAAGTGGATAATCTTATGGTTTCAAATGTAATTCTGTTTAAATTTTGATCTACTGGCATTTTGAAGATGGTAAGATTAAAATTTGAAAAATTTCTCACATTTATATTTTATTTTTAGACCCTCAATCGAACAGATTCAATGGTATCTTTATGCCATCGAGCCTTCATAACATTTATTAGTGAGGATGATGTCCAAGGACTGTTGAACTACCTGGACAATAAAAAAATCAACATCGATGACAAAGATGAAGTGAGAAATTTGTTTTCATTTGACATGCAAAATATTAATTTAAAATAAATGGGTTTTTTATACGTTTTAGAATGGAGCTACGGCTTTACATTATGCGGCGGCGAAAGGGAAGGTCAACTTTGTTCGTATTCTTTTAAACCACAATGCCGAAGTCAATGCTGAAGACCAGGTATTTGCTTAGAAAGATAACTCTTGTTCTTCCTGGTATCAGTTTTTTTTTTCATAATTTTTTAAGGACAATTGGACTGCGTTGTTGTGTGCAGCAAAAGAGGGCCATTATGATGTTTGTCAAGAATTGGTTGAAAGGGATGCCGATAAAGAACATAGGGACATGGTAGTATAACATAAAATAGCTGTTTTCAAAATTAAGAAAACGTTTTAAAAGAATTTGTACAAAAATTTCCCCCAGGGAGGATGGACTGCACTTATGTGGGCGGCATACAAAGGCCATACGAACATTGCACTTCTCCTCATTGAAAAAGGAGCTGATGTCAATGCTCATGGAAACTACCACATCTCATCCCTTTTATGGGCTGCCGGGAGGGGGCATGCTTTAATCACCAAAGCCTTGTTGGAACATGGGGCAAAGGTCAATGTGGGAGACAAAGTAAATTTAAATTCTTTCAACTTTTGCATTAAAAAAAGAAAGAAGAAAATGTTTCATTTTACTTTATTTTAGTATGGCACTTCTGCACTCATCTGGGCAGCTCGTAAAGGAAATAAAGAAATTGTTGATAATTTGTTGAAAGCAGGTGCCAACGTCGATACAGCTGGAATGGTATGTGATTGTTATTTCTGACAATTTTTTTTTAAATTTAAGTTAATACTCGACATTTGTGAACTAGTATTCTTGGACTCCTCTTCTTGTGGCAACAATGGGGAACCATATCGACGTAGTCATGCTACTACTTGATTGTAAACCAAATGTCAATGCTATCGACAAAGATGGTTGTACAGCATTGACCATTGCATGTAAAGAAGGCTATACAGAAATAGCGGCTGCTTTGTTAAACGCTGGAGCTTATATTAACATTCAGGTAATAACTGATGGTTTCTTGCAATGTGAACCGTTTCTCACAATTTCTCTTTAAAAAAATAAATTATTTTGAAATTATGTCCATTTTCAGGATCGAAGTGGTGATACAAATCTTATCCATGCTGTTAAAGGTGGTCATAGGAATATTATAGATATATTGCTTAAGAAGTATGCTGATGTTGACATTCCAGGAAAGGTTTGTGTTTTGTTATTAAAAAAATATTTTAAAACTTCATTTCGTTTTGATCTCATTTTCCCTTTTTTATTTTTAGGAAAGAAAAACTGCAACATATACTGCGGTAGAGAAAGGAAACATTCCTATATTGAAAATGTTATTATCCTCTAATCCAGATTTAGAAATAGCTACCAAAGTGGGTTTTATATATATATATATATATATATATTTTTTTTTTAATAATTATATAATTTTTGGAAAATTATAGCTACTGTTAACGACTTTTCTTCACTAGCTTTATTAATTATTTTAGGATCATGACACTCCATTATTAAAAGCTGTAAGGTTGCGAAATGCTGATGCTGTCCATTTGCTCCTTGAAAGAAAAGCCAAAGTGTCTGCATCCGACAAATGGGGTGACACCCCTTTGCACATTGCGATGAGAGCTAGATCGAAAGCGATTGTTGAAATACTCCTCAGAAATCCCAAAAACAGTCAGCTGCTCTACAGGCCGAACAGAGCTGGCGAGACACCATACAACATCGACATGAACAACCCAAAGACTATACTAAGTCAAATTTTTGGAGCCAGTGCGTATTTCAATGTATTTATTTTGTGAAACACTCATCGCCATGAAATTACAGGAAGACTAAATACTAATGAGGACAACGAGAACTTGCTTGGGTATGATTTGTACAGCAGTGCACTTGCGGACATGTTAAGCGAGCCTTCGCTCTCTATGCCAATTACTGTTGGTTTATTCGCTAAATGGGGTAGTGGAAAGTCATTTTTACTCAACAAACTAAGAGGTGCTTGTTTCTTATAAAAATATTACAAATCACAATGGGGTGTAATTATTTTTTTATGTTTTATTACAGAGGAGATGAAAAATTTTGCAAGACAGTGGATGGAGCCTATAATTCATTTCTCTTGGCTTCTTCTAGTCATTCTAGGCCATATTTCAGTAATTGTAGGCCTTGTTTTGGGTTTGGTCACATATTCTTGGATCACTGGCATATCAGTGGCTACTGGGCTTATAATTTTTTCTTACACTCTCCTTGTTCTACTGTGGTACTCTAGTCAAAGGTTTTAATTAACACATTTTTATAAATATAATTACGTGGTTAACTTTCATTAATTTTTTTATAGATATAATTGGGATTTTCCTTATAACTTGAGCGTAGCCCTTACTCAAAAGATGAACACTTTACGTGTTATTTTTCAAGTCATATTTTGCCATCCTCCTGGCGGACAATGGAGTGATTCTATTACTGCACTTCCAATAAGGTTAATATTCAAATTTTACGCTTCAAATTTAAATTAAAGTATATACACCAACCAAATACTTTCTCACAATGCTAAACATAGTGGTGTGATCCTAATACTTTATATTTTTGACCTTGCCAAATCTCATTGTGTTTTGGCTAATATTTTGAATTTTGTACAGGTTTTATTTCACCGACCATGCTCGAGTTGGTAGTAGTGTAGATGGTGAAAACTGTGTTGTTCAAATGATTGGTTCCTTGTTTGATGCTATAGAAACAGACTTCGGGACATTTTCAACACGTCTTTATCGAGCATTTAGACCAAAACCAGGTGATTTCATTTTTCCACTTTTTATAAATAAATATTGATTATAGTAAATTAATATTTTTTTCCCCGCAGTGAAATCTACTAGGAGTTGGAAATGGCGTCGTCTTTGTTGCATTCCAAATATTTTCCTTTTAGAGATTTGCTTTGCCTGTTTTATTATAATAGCCGGTTTCCTTTCTGTTTATCTTATGGAAATTACTCTTCCAGAGTAAGAATATTTAATATATTTTATTTTAATTGGCTAAAATTAATTAATCGATGATTCACAGAGCACGTGTATCAGTGGATAGGATGACAGTTCATGTGATTATAGCGCTTTGTGGTGGACTTGTTCTAGTCGCAATTATCGCCAACGCATACACAATCGGACAAGTGTTAGCGTCGTTAATGTTTTCACAAAGAAGGTGCCTCCAGAGATCCATTGCAAGGTTGGACACAATTAAATCAGAAGGATTTCTTCAAACTCTCCGCTCTGAAGTTTGCCTCATGACTGACATGGTGAGTTGAAAGATTTAAAATAATTAATGATGTAAGCCGGTCCCTGTCTTAGAATAAGATGTAGTTGTTAAAGTAAGAACAAACAAAAACTTAATTTAAATGACCACACAAAAAAAGGCTATAAATCGGAAGGGGTGATCATCCAGATGGGAACAGTGTGATTTCTCCTACCAATCTGGGAAATATAACTCTGCAATAATTAACCAGTTGGTCAAAGGGTGTCACAGCATAGACGGAAGTGATGCGAAGGTCCAAATGTAGTAGAATTAATTAAAATAGTCCATGGCGTTTTCCCAATTTGGAATTAAAAGAAGTAACTTTTGAGAGGCAAATGCAACGTTAGATCTTAGAAAAAAGAAAGAGACTGTTTCGCAAGGGAAGAAAAGTCAGTCACTATTGTATCAACAGGAATTTAGAGAAATACTCAAGACCATGGGCTCTACGTCTGGAGTTGAGTTTGTTGGCAGGAACCAGCCCAGCAGATGTGAACCAATACTATCAGACGGCATGGCCACCAAGGGATATCTACAATTTTCTAAGATCTTCTCTTGCAGGCGCCAGACCATAGGTTCATTTGTATTCTGTGGAGTTAATGCCAGAGCAGGACAAGGCTTTGGAGAGGCCTGTCATCCTAGAGGACTACACCAGTTATTTCCTGATATCAAAGGATTGAGAGTATTATGCCACTTTAGATGAACAGAACATGAGGAGGTGCAGACAGGCACAAATATGGGTGGGTACATCTGGCAAAATTTCCAATATTTTGTCGTTGTCAGCCGGCCTGTTTCAGTACCCTATTCTTGCAAGAAGAAAGTGGAGTGGCGTAAAAATGAAAGTGGAGTGCAGTACTTGAGTTGCAGTTTGAACTTGAGATGCAGAACAGCATGTGGATTTGTAATCTGCTAGAACCTACAGTGCTTACAAAGCAATGCTGAAAGAAGGGAATGACCGAAATAACCCTGCAGGGTCAGGGGAACTAAAAGTGGCTTCGGAGTTGTGCCATGCGAAGCCCAGATGATTTCTTTACCAGAGGGAAACACAGAAATGGTGTAGAATTACTGCCCTTCCCCTCAGTTGAATATTAGAGCCGGAACAGTTTTTCCCCAGTACGACGACATAGAAATCAGCCCTCATCATTCTAGAAAAGGATGGGAAGGTCAATTCCAGCCAATAGAGTGATACAAAGTGTGGTTAGATGTCTTAGCAAATTTGTTAGACTAGCTGGTGGCCACTTGGGCTGAAGCCAGTACCTCCATTGCATTCCTAATTGCAATTGGAGTTACAGTGGGAATTCAGTTCTGGATGGTGGTTCTGGACCATCATACCCACAAAGAAGATGATGGCCCAGAGGAGAGCACACTTTTACGGAAGCCATGACAGAACAGAGTTAAGTGCCAGAGAAAAGAACTATAATTGGTTTACTGAACTGTAGAATTTTAGTAAATTTGTGATGTTTGTAGTAATTAGTTGTAAGGTAACACTTTTGGTGGCGGGGTGATGTATGCAGGTCCCTGTCTTAGAATAAGATGTAATTGTTAAAGTAAGAACAACAAAAAAATAGTTTAAACGACCATAGAAAAAAGGATGTAAATCTGAAGGGGCGATCATCCAGACAGCACAACGTCCTCACCAATCTGGGGAACAACTCTGCACTAATTAAGCAGTTGATCGAAGGATGTCACAGCACAAATAGGAGTGATGTGGCGTTCCTCACAAACCAGGGAAACAGCCCTGTAATAATTTCACAGTTGATCAAATAAATAAGAAAGTCGAGTGTCCCAGACCCAGATGGGAGCCATGAGCCTGGATAACATAAAGTTTCAGTTGTTGCACAACTGATCAAATAAATAATTAAGGTGCTGAAAGGTTGTCACACAGCCAAAAATATATAGCGATGTGGGAAATCGTAAATTGGAGTCGCGACACCCATCTTCGCTGGTCCACCCGCAGCATGGGAACTCCATCAACTTTAGATTTTTCTTTCCACCCCACTCTGATAGAGAAACTGGTATAAAAAAGGATGATTTGGTCACACCAGTGAGTCAAGAACTGAGACCCACCCACGCAGTCACCAGAAGACTGTCCTCAGTCAAGACCAGTGACTCACTCCAGGCAGTGAACAGTCGACTCCAGGAGTTGATCCAGAACAGAAGTAGCTACATTCCATTTGGCTCTCCATTGGGACTCCGCCATCCAGAGCAAGCAAGGATCTGCCGTTGCGACCCATTGGATCAAGTCTTCTTCCCAAGAAGGCGGTTGGGAAACTAGAAAGGCGCTGGGGATACTTGGACGCTAATCGTGGCAAGTGTCGTTTGGGATGTACCTTTGTTTACAGAATCATCCCATATTTAGAGTTGCGGCTGACTTGTTAAATTAATTAAGATTTTGTGCTGTTTGTGTACATTTAAAAGATGGTATTGTTTTCAAATAAATGTTGAAGAATATACTCTTTTGTTTATTAAATTCTCGAACCTTACCTTCCACTACACAAGAATAAGTAGCGAAGCTCTTACTCCGACTACTCCGTAATTGCTTAGAGAATAGCATGTGTATATAGAGAGATTATTCAGCTGTCACTCCAACACGGCTCATAATATAATAATAATTAAAAATAAGTTGTTTTTTTTTCCTTAAATTATAAATTTTTTCACAGGTGAAATGCCTCGATGCGTTTACTCAACAGCAAACCCGCTTGGTCGTGATTGTGGACGGATTGGACAGTTGTGAACAAGAAAAGGTTCTACTGATACTCGACTCGGTTCATGCCCTCTTCTCAGAAGCAAATTCGCCTTTCATTATTATTCTTGCTATTGACCCACACATAATTTCAAAGGTGAGCCACTAATTACAAACCTTAAAACAGGGCTGTCAATCAGGAGGTGTGAACTTAGCTTTACTTAGATATAGCATTTAGATAAGGTGAACGAATTATTTTTATTTAACCCGTTGAACTTTTAAATTGTCAATAAATACATTTTCCTCTTTTCACAAACTACTTGTAATATAAGATTTGCCTTTACAATTTTAATGACAAGTATTTTAATCTTATACAAGTTGGCAATGGAACAGGTCAGTAGCATGTTGGTTGTTACAGTGATTCATTAAAGCTTAAACTGATGTCCTTTTGCTGAAGACTCCTTTGACTCCATCAAACTGTTTCCACCCATTCTTTGTCTTTGTCCAAAGTCTTTGTCTTTGTCACTGTTGTTGCTTTAAAAACAAACAAAAAAAGTTTGCCAGTCATTTTCCTTGTTTGCTAGAATTTATTTAAATAGTGTCTCATCTGTCCTACAAATTCTTAGATTGACGAAGGTAAACAGAACAAGCCAGAAGATATCTACCATAAACTATATATTTCAGTATATCTGTAGAAGTCATAAAGTTTTTTTTATTTTCTGTTTCCTTTAATGATAGTACAGCATGAAGGCATGACGTTTTTAATACTCTGTTTCCAAAGGCTGCGTGCGAGTGAAACATGCTTTCTTTGGGCAGGAGAATTATTGCTTAAATATTAAAACTTTTTCTATTTCGTTAGATGACATTATGTTACTATGTCATTTTGATATTTTATTGGGTTGTCCGGAAAATAATGCAGGATTTTGGTATTAAACAAAAAAAAAGAAACTAGTTACTTTAAAGCAATGTTCTTTAATCAAAATAATTTCCCATACTCTCAATACATTTCTCCCAACGTGTTGGTAACTTATTAATTCCGTCTGAGTAGAATTCAGAATTTTTAGAATTGATAAAGTCAATAAATGCATTTTCCAGTTCCGTTTGATTTTTGAATATTATGTGTTGTAAGTAGTGGTCCAGGTGTCTAAAAAAATGGTAGTCAGTAGGCGAGAGGTCCGGAGAGTAGGGTGGGTGAGGGAAAGTTTCATAGCCAAGCTCCAATAATTTTTGTGACGTTACACGTGACACATGTGGTCGAGCGTTGTCATGCAACAAAATGGGCCCTTTCCGATTGACCAAAGAGGGCTTCATTACTGCCAATTTCTGATGCATGGTATTAATTTGGTTACAGTATGATTCAGCATTGATGGTTTCGCCAGGATTTAAGAAGCTGTAGTGTATTAAACCAAATGAAGCCCACCATACCGTAACCATTACCTTTTTTTGATGAGTTGGGGGCTTTGGAAAATGTATTGGAGCTTCTCCTTTGTCGAGCCACTGTCCAGAACGTCTAGTGTTATCGTAGAGAATCCACTTTTCGTCACATGTAACAATTCTGGCCAGAAATGGGTCATTTTTGTTTCGACAAAGAAGTGATGCACAAACATCAAAGCGCTGATTTTTTTGGCGATCGTTTAATGAGTGTGGAACCCAATTTTCGAGTTTTTTCACTTTTCCAATCGCCTTGAGGTGGTCAGCGACGGTCGTTTTACTGACTTTGAGTTGCTCTGCACCCATCACTGATCGCAGAACATCATCATTAAGAGAGGAAGGCCTTCCACGACCTTCTTCATCTTCAAGGCTGAAATCTCCCTCCCGAAATTTTTTAAACCACCTTTGCACAGTGCACTCATTAACACAACCCTCTCCCCAGACTTGGTTAATGTTTTTGGCCGTTTGGGCTCCGCTTCGGCCGAGTTTAAACTCGTAAAAGAAAGTCGTACGAAATTCTCGCTTTGACATTATAAGGATGACTGAATTATTTCCAAGTAGCGGAATGCTACAGAGGTAAACAAACAATATCATTTGGAAGAGGATTAATAAGTGTTGACATTCATACAAATGAGTAATCCTGTAAACGTAAACAGAATATTTTATATAGATTTTTTTTAATGAAAACTTAAAATCCTGCATTATTTTCCGGACAACCCAATAGAAACATTTTGACTGAATTTCCTGCTATCATTTTCGTAGCCTAATGTCGCAGATACAATCAAGTCTCATCTTACTCTTGGATTTTGCTGATTACACAAACCTCCTAAGAGATAAAAGATTTAAGTTTTCCGTGTAGTTCTTTTACAATGAAATAACAGAAAAGTAAATAATTTCTTTTAAATTTTGTTTTTAGCGATTTGTAGACTTTCCTTAGGTTCAGGAAAGGCAGAGCAAAAACGTTGAAATTTCTCTCAAAATTTCAATGTTAAAAGGCACTAAATGTTAGAACTTCTTTTATTTGCGTAGAAGAATTTTTCTTTTCAGAAAGACAGTTAAGAAAACATGGTTGGTCTAAAAACATGAATTTCATTTTTTACCCTCTTATTCCGTACAAGGATTCACAACAGAAAAGGTCACTGTGTTAAAAAAACTAATTTTTTTTTTTTTTTTTAATAAAAAACGACCAGTTGTAAGTATATCAGGTTCGAATGAAGGGCCGCTGGATTCGAACCCAAGACAGTGATGAGTCGCCGTGTCAACATTTTAACCATTGTGGCCCCCTGCAAAAATGTTAAAATGTTGATTTAATGATGTACATAAAAAAAAAAAAATCAGAGCCAATAAGAGGTTAACATTTAGATTTTAAAAAAATAAAGGAATAAACCCTCCTCCATGAGGTATTAAACCTAGCTATTAGTTGTTTTTCCAAAACTTGGCCAAAAGAAATGACAAATTATAATTCAAAATGGCCTTCTGTCTGTAACACCTCTTGGATCACACTCCCAGGGTTTTCATTTTCTTATCTTTCATCAATCAAAATTATACTTGATCATCCCGTTTGATAATGCAATAGATTTTTTTTTTCTTAATAAACAATCTAAAATATTGGCTGTATAATAATTGTATCCTACACAAGGCATAACATCGAAAGAAAACTAACGAGAGTTAAGGAATTCTAAACATAGTTTTAGCAAACAGGTTAGTTTTATTTTTTCTAATATTTTAAGTACTGAAGTTGGTAGATATATTTGGATACATTTTACTGTTATTTGTACAAGCTTGTAGGCACAAAATTTAATTGTTGGTTAAATGTGTGTCCGATTTCCCCTATTTGGTTTTCTTGTTTGAATGTTGGCAAAATGAACTGTACCTTGATCATTTCCAATCATTTGTCACTGTTGTCTGCCTACATGCCGAGACATTTTGGCTTTTGCCATCTGACAGACCAAAACGGAGAATAGGCAGGCCAAAATGATCAGAAACAACCTTCAACACTCCACAGGCTCACAAATCTCACAAAATAAAATAGATTTGTTTTAATCACTGTACTTTTTTAATTGTCACCCATCAATTGTTTTGGTCTGCGAATCCTCAATAGGTTGGTCTGTCAGATGTGTTTTGGCATTTTGTCAGACTTGAATATGTCTGTCATAGGCAGGCCAAAATGGTCGGCATCCACCAAATTACAGGTTCATCACTCTGAAGGCCACTTTAAGAAATTTCACAATTTTATGTTCTGTAAAGGCACAAATAATGTAGATTGTATTTGAGATATTTTCTGTAATAGTTTGTTGTCCCTGCTCAACATCTTGTAGTAGCATCTATTTTAGCATTGAACATACGCTGTCTGCATTTGATTTGTAGATTTGTGTTGTTGAAAATTCAGTTTTCCTCCCCGTTGCCTAAAAATAATTTTTTCCAACTTACTTTAGCCACCATCTTTTTACATGTATTATTATGGATTTTTATTGGAAATTTATATAATAATATTAATTCTCACCTTTAGTTTAGACAGTGAAAATTTGAAGTATCACTGGATGTAGTTAAAAATTTTCCAAGATTGCAAAAGTATAATAAATGCTTTAAAATAAACTTTAAAAAGTTCAATTTTATATAATACAATTTAGAAATCATATTTACGTTAATGATGATTTTAATAGGCTGGAACAACATGTTATAAATTTTGATAGATGTAGCAAATTATGTTAATGTATACATTTTTAGTTATAAATTTGATGTTCTGTTTTCAGGCAGTCGAGGTAAACAGCAGAATATTACTGAACGAAACCAACATAGGCGGTCATGATTATTTGCACAACATGGTACACTTGCCTTTCTTCCTTCAGAATTCTGGCTTGAGAAAAGTCAAGATTGCTCAGAAATCGTCAATTTCAAACAAAAAGTCCAATCTGACTACACAAGCTTTGGAAGGTTCAATGTCAGAAATTGCACTCGCAGCATCAGTAAGTAATTTTTTATTGTGTATAATTGCCTGTTTCGTTTGAACTGTTGTACGTTATAGGGCCCGGGGAGGAGAAGCAGCAATGAAGTAACAAGCGCCAGTAGCGAAAAACAGTTGAAAATCCCTGGGAAGAGGTCTGGCTCACGGAAAATGAAACTGAGCGAAAGCATCGCATCCAGCATTGGTTCAAACCTCAATCGGGCAGGAGGACCGCACGACCTCACCAAGATGCTGCTCACCGATGATTACTTCAGTGATGTAAATCCCAGAAGTATGCGAAGACTTATGAATGTCATATACATAACTGGTAGTTTTCCAACTCGTTCTTGTTATCGTCATGATCTTACAATAACAAACCTTTCAGGGCGTTTATTAAAAGCTTTTCAAATCGACTTTAACTGGTACCATTTGGCAAGCTGGATCAATATCACAGAACAATGGCCTTATCGTACATCATGGATCATTTTCTTTCACGAAACTGCTGATGAAGCCATTGATGATTCAGTTTCTTTAAAAACTATTTATGATAAGTAAGTGATGATTTATATTTTGATTCTGAAATATAAATGGACATTTTGTGATAAGTGGAAAAATAAGGTAAAGGTCTATTTGCTAATATTTCAGTCTGTCATGTTGAAAAAGGAAAATGGAAAGTAAGATGTTAAATAAAGTTAACCATGTTTAGTATACAACTGGCTGTTTTAATAAATAAGTTTACATTTCAAGACAGTATATAAACTTTTGTTGAATTAAGTAAGTGTATATTGTTGTTGACTTTCAGGGTCAGGCATCAGATCCCATCATCAAAAGAAATCGAGCCTTTGATAGAACTTGATCGGGATGAAAGAAAACTCGATGTTTTTCTCACATTCCATCGAACAACTCTACTTGTCAGTGATTTGAGAGTGTTTCTCCCTTTCACCATTAATTTAGACCCGTACATCAAAAAAGTAATCAAAGGTGTGTCATTGTACTAATAGCTGGCTTATAATTTTTTTTAATATATAACAATTGCAGATGACATTCAAAATATGGAAGAAACTATTGCAATTGGAAACTTTTCTATGCAGCATAGGCCTCCTCATACCTGGGAAGCATGGAATGTTCCACAGCCAAATTCGCTACGCAAACAGGTAATGCGTGACTTTGTTAAACATTTTCAAACTGGTTAATCAAAATTTTATTTTAGCGGTCGTTACTAAGGCAAGATACAGTTGGTGGTATAAACTCAGCAAACCCAATAATGTTCCCCACGACGATTGCTAGCCATTGGGGACATCCTCTTCAGCCTAATGCACAGTGGGGAATGATGAACCGAGCTAGTCCTGTTCCCAATCTGTTACCCTTGCCTGTAAGAAAATTTTATTTTACTTTTTATATAGAGAATAAAAGCCTTGTTTTTTAGCCTGAGTTGTCAGATATCAAACTGTCTAATCTTAGTGTTGTCGGAGTGAGCCAGTTGTTAATAAAGTTGCCAGATATTCAACAAGAACAAGTGGACAATTACATTTCTACTGTACAGACTAACAACATTAATGGGAAAGTCCTAGCTCACTGTGATATATCTGAACTCAAGAAGGTATAAAAATTAATAAATCATGTGAAAACATAATATATTTAATGCGACAATCCAATCAGGTTATGAACATGAGTTTTGGTGATTGGGAACTGTTTCGCATGGTGATAGCTAGACTGAAACAAAAAGAGGAAAACTCTTTGGGCAATGTTATTAACTCCCCACCATTAAAATACAAGAGTAAATCGTCTGGTCAGAACCCATCAAGTAGTACACAATCAAGTAAGTTATTACAATTTTCCCCCGCAACAATGCTGAGAGTCAAATTAACAAAAAATGTTTACTATTGTAATTTAAAATTATTGCAGTACATGTTTTGCTACTGACACAAAAGTGCTAAGTTAAATATTTGGAAAATAAAATCAATCGCAATGACATGGCTTTATTTATTTTTTGTTTTTTTTTAATAAAATTTGTATTAGTGTGATTTTTATGTTGTAGACAGCCACAGTAGTAATGCAAGATCTCAAGATGAAAGGGATAGCAGACTGAGCAAATCTCAAGCATCGACAATGGAAAAACAGGTAAATTGTTTTAATTATAATGATCCTTTAGGGTCTTATGAATTAAATCACAATTTGGTATTTGATTTGTAATTGTTTAACTTGCTTTCACTGGATACACAGTACCAAGTAAGTCAAACACTCGATACCAAATAATTCACAAATTAACAATTCTTAGATGTTATATTATTTATTTTTATTGTGGTGTTGAAAATTGGATGAAATTTAATTTGTTAATAGTTTACTGTTATTTCTCAGGTGTCCCTCGAGGAGCAGATGATCTGCGGAGCACTTCAAACTCTGAGCGAGGAAGCCTGTGAAGATGTCCTCGAAGAAAAGGTCGAAGATATCGAAGCATCAGGTCAGTCAGTGTGCATAAACGTGCAAGACGAAAATTACTTATAGTTTAGTCGCATTAGGAAAGTCGTAGAGCATTACAACTATTATTATACCTGTTGTATATATAAAAAAATTTACATTTGTTAATAAATGAGATGAATTTATTTTTTACTGAAAATAAACCTACCATGGTATTTCCCCACTGTTGAATTGGTCAATGAAGTTTTATTCGAAGGTCACTTTGTTTCACGATGTAAATGTTCATGATTCTCAATAATGCTGCTTTTGCCATCAATCGTTAACAGTTAGAAACTTATGTTTACAATCAGTATAAATGGATTTTGTAAATTGAAAACATTAAATATGAAATTAATGTTATCTTTCAATTATCTCGCCGTTCGGGAAGAGAAAGACAAAAAAAAGAGAGCATGATGTTTTTGTATAACAATGATTGCACAAAGCTAGTCTAATAAACCATGGCATCAATATAAATCCACTTCACCCAAACTGCACTATACAAAAAAAGCCTACATTAATTATTCGGAGATTGTGAGATGCGGTCTGGTGTGATGTAGCTTTTAGAAAAACATTTTCTTTATTGTGCCAACGTTTCGATCTTTATTGAGATCATTTTCAGGGCTCAAAGTGTTTGTTTTCTGTGTAGATGTGTCAGTCTTGTCTGTCGAGTTGAGGGTGCCCACGACAAAACAAACACTTTGAGCCCTGAGGATCTCAATAAAGATTGAAACGTTGGCACGATAAAGATACTGTTTTTCTAAAACTTACTTCACACCAGACCGCATCTCACAATCTCCAAATAATCATTGACTCTCGGTCACTAAACAGCACATATGCCTACATTAATTTTAATTTAAACAATATACTAATAATGTAGAGAAGAGCACGATTGTATTTCAAATTTGTTAATTGTTTAGCTTATGTGTAATTATCACTATCCTTCTGTGTGTTATAATTTAAGCACATTTTTGAATTGTTCTTCTTCCAGCACATTTATCAGCCTAAAGAACATCACAAAGTGCCACCTTTCTTATGTGATCTAATATAACACAGACACGCAATTAAGAAAATGAAAAAGTTAGAAAAGTTCCCAATATAGGCTTTTTTCTCCTGAATATATTTGAACCAATTTAGTAATCTTCATTGTGTTATATTCTGCAGTCGATTATGCTTGCCTTCTTGAGAGTGATATTCAGAATACATTTCTGAATAGAGAGTGTGCTCTGACTATGCCCTTTGATCTCGAGAAAGCGTATGATACGACGTTGAGATATGTGATAGTTTGGAAATGTTGGGATATTAGATTTAGAGGCAAATTACCTCAGTTCATTGAGGCTTTCTTGAGGAACTGAAGATTCTGTGTCAGATTTGGGTTCGTGCTCTCTTGTGAGTTTGTTCAAGAGAATGGAGTCCCTCAGGGTACAGTGATAAGTGTTACATTTTATTCAGTCGCAGTGAATAGTGTCACTGATAACTGAACGTCGACGACCTCTGTTTAAACCTTTCAGAAGACCTAGCAGTGGTCGGAAGGGTGAAGAGGTGATACAGTCAGCGATAAAAGTTGTGGCTGGACGAGCCAAGGAAACCGGATTCACCTTCTCTGAGTTGAAAACCGTATGCATCCACTTTTGCAGGCTGCGGAGGGCCCACAGCTTTCCGCAGCTTTGCCTGAAGGGGCGCTGGATAAAGTACATAGAGAGATGAGGTGCTTCGGCCTCACGTTTGATCAAAAACTTAGATTGGAGCCACCCATTGACCTCCACAAGATGGAGGGAAGGAAAGTAACAACATTATTAAAGTTCATCGGTCGCTTCAGGTTTGGAGCGGACAAGGAGACCCTGCCCTGGGTCCTCCCAGCCATACCCATCTGGGAAGATCTTGCCATGCTAGCCAAGTCGTCTACTTCGCCATACCTTTACTGAGCTAAATTCTTGTAGCAACAATAGGCCGGGTCAACAGAGAAGCTCTCATTATCAAGAGCACTGTTGATGGGTAGTCCTTGGAGGATCTGACTTGGTTTAGGATAGGCCATGCGAGGTTAACACATGGACACTTACTTTTGGGCTACATCAGCTACCCAATTTGAAAATTGTGCTTGAGCACGGCAGCGAGTATTTGGGTCCCTGTTCTGATTCTTGGAGGGAATGGGGTTGCTCCATTGTACATAGTAATAATAGTGTACACCTAGTTTGTGTTGAGAGTGAATGTATTTATTAGTGTGAATGTGTGATGGGAGAGGGTTGACGGTGGAATATCGAGCACCCCCTCGACCCTCATTTAGGTTAGTTGTACAATATGTGTAAAGGATGATGGGGGAGGGTCCAACATGAATCATTTTTTGATTACATGTAAAAATTGAACTATTTTTTATTTGCAAACCATTGAATGTTTTTTATTATACATGGTTCTTACCAATTTAATTTTTGTTTCTTTATCAGTATTAGTAAGTCTGGTAATTTCCATGTCTTTTACACTAGAACTTAACGTTTTTTTCTCTTGCATATTTGTTTGTACTCATAAAGTTGCATCGTCTTTAAACTGTGGGTTACAAAATCATAAATGTTGGCAACTTTTGTGCCAAGTACACATAGAATAGTCTAATCCGAGGCATACAGCAAACATCTTAATTCTGCACTAGTAAATCTGGCAATTTCCATACATTTGGCCGTACAATTAAAACATTTTCTTTTCTTTTTTCTATATAATTTGGTGATTCCAAAGAAAATAGTGCTTATGATAAAATTCTAACAAATTTAGCAAATGAATTCATTACGGTTATCATAAATGTCAACAACTTGTCAAAGACACTACGTAGCCTAGTAATCTGAGGCCAAAGGCAAACGTTTTAATTCTGCAATAATTAATCCAGCAATTGCAAAGGCAGTGAGGCTTACGATATAATTGTAATAACTATAGCATCACACTTCAGACATCGTGAGGCTCTTTTTGTATTTTTATTATGTTATAATTAAAAACCAAACAACACACGATGCGTTGCGTAAAAGTTGAACAGAAACCAATCAAAATGATGGGTATGACTCACGACTCGAATGGAAGTCTCAACTTGAAAGCAAATCAAGTAAAATGTTGACCGAACTCTGTCAAACCGAATGTTCTCGTGATAGATTTCAATTTAAATTTGATTTATTAAAAAAACTTGAATTCTGAAAATGTGCCTTTATCTGATTTAGTTTATTTTCTTCAAAAAGAAATTTCTTTGAACTAGCACAGACATCAAAAAAGTTACTTCTGTTGAAATGGGAAATAGTGAGCAGTATCACAAATACGAGGAAAGTAGTTCCCAGTTTGCTATTGTCTTCTTTTTTAATGATTGTGATTACACACTGTAGACATTTCTTATACCACAAAAATGAAAAGTTTTGCTTTATAGTAGTGATATGGAAGAAGGGGGTGAATAATATATTACGTTAAATTGATTTATTGAAAAAAAGTCAAAAGAAAAAGTGTACATATTAACAAAAAAAAGTATTTATTGACATTTTGGTTCATGGATTTTACTTAACTTATCTATATTTTGAAAACTTACCTTCAGAAATCCAAAACCTTTCTCTTCCCCCAATCCCAAGTTTAATTTTGCACTTTTAATTATTTAGCAATTATTTAAAATTGCGCTACTTCTCTGATGGCAGAAGCGGCTGAGGAATTTTTTTTTGTTTTTAATATTTTCTTTGGGATAAATATAATGATTGGTGTAAGGGAAAATATTGATATTTACTTATTGTGTTTAAGTTTTCAAAAATTTGATAGGAGGATTGGATAAATATGTAAATAAGATGTGAAGTAGAAAATTACAAGCTGTGATAGTTTTTTTAAACATACAACCACTTACCTGATCTTAGTACAAACGTCCTTTAAAGCTTCATCTGTTTTTGTCAATAAATGCTTTACCTGGAAGTTCAAAAGCTTGGAAAAGGTCCTAAGCCTAAATTTAAAATATAATTCATTCAAATGTCTTAGTTATTCCATATTAATTTTTAAGTGAAAAATGATTATAAATTTATGTGTAATTTGTATATATGTACAATAATCATTTGGGTTTAGTTTTTCATTTTTCTTCTTTTTTTAACAAATCCATGTATTCAATGTGACATAATATTATTTCTGTACCTAAGTGTAATTACTCTCATTGGATGTACATTAAATTATTTAATACCACTGCCTGGTGAATTAAATATCCTTTTTATGTAATTTCATTTTTGCATACTTCATTTAGTAAAGGAACGAAAGAAGGAAGGCAAGCATCCACTTTTATCTTGCAATTGACTTCATGCACCATTCTCATGTCAAAAGCTTCTGCATTACCCGTGTATTTTTGTCGCAAATCATAACCCTATTTGCAAGCGTCGATTTGCAGCGTGTCAAACTTCACAGTTTTGATATATGAGCATTGCCGTTTACTTTTGGATGGTTTGGAAATTTGGTGTCAACTTTTTTTTTATAGTAGGGCTCAATTTCAGCTACTAATCCTCTAACTGAGTAAAATTAATCTATGAATTTAGCATTGTTAAAATCCACTACAGTTTTTGTATAATTCTATTGTATTATTTTATTAAAATAATCCTAATATCTTTTAACGTGGTTTGCCTTACATTTTGCAATGGTACAATCTGCATGGCTATACATTGCACATTGCCTACATTTGATTTTTGCATGATATGTTTAATAATATTTATTTATTATAAATTAATTATGATATATGCTTATTTTAGGTGATCTCATGACCTTTCAGAGGATAGGAAGGACAATAAGCCAGTGTAGTTTTTACAGTAGCACAGCACCTGATGAGACAGATATCGTTCTTTTTCAGGTATTTCATTTTTAAATGTTTAACTTGTAACTATTGTACATAAATTATTAATTTAACTATAATTAGAAAGTTATTATTATCAAGTGAAGAAGAAAGTAAAGTCCTGTCATAAGGAACAGCTTTACGTCCAACGACCCGCTTTGGGTGGACAAAGACTCAGACCACTTTCCAAGAGCAATGGCAAGATTTGAAATTAGAGCCATAATCAGACCATCAGAATAAATTAAACCATAATCAGACATTGCGATGGCTCGGCCTTGTCTCTTGAAGTGCGAGAGTTTTGAAGTGAGATAATTTATACAAATTTATTGATTTGTTTACGAAAGTGAGTTCCTATTTTGGATTTCATGTACCAACTGCTAAGTTGCAGTTTTGGCATTACCTTTGTGTTGGTAATTAGAATTGAGAAAGTAGTTTGAAAGTCCTTGTCTAGACATATGATAGTTAGTTGCATGTAATTATAAATTGTTCATATATGGCAGGAATGCTTTTGATTTGATTTTTAGTTTTTATGATATGTATGTGAAAATATGATTAAACTATATAATTAAAGTATTCAATATATGGGTTAAATTGGTGTTGATATTTTAAATAGATTATAACATAGATTAAAATTATGAAAGTAACTTGTAAAAATTTCTCTTTCTCCTGGAAAAAAAATTAGGAGATTTATTTCATCAAGGTGAATAAAAAAGTAAAAAATTATTTTTAATTAACATGTTAAGAGTAATATTTGAAAGTTATTTCAAATAAATTATTTATTAAATATGTAATCAGTGTAGTCAATGTTAAGTTAAATAACACGTGTTTCAGAACGCTCCATTACAGTCCAACTGGTCATCTGTCGCCTGCGATTATCATAGTTCTTGTAGCTCAGGGGCCAATACCCCTGTTGTTTCTAGAAGAAGTGTAGAAGAGCAAGATTATCAGGTTGTTCAACTTTAAACAACGCACTCTTTGTTTTTGGTATCTTACGATTTTTTTTGTTTTGTTTTTTTAATGTTATTTGCTCTGTCATAGAATGGTGAAATCCAACTGAGGTGTAAGATTTCCAGACCTACGTCTCTGTTTGTCTCCGATGGCAAAAATTCGCCATCGAATAGTAATCTGTCTTTAGATGGTCAAACGCAGGTTTGTAAAATATTTGATTTACCTGAACCGTTCCAAATGTTGCAACCAAACCATTTCCACTTTATCCGTTCAGCTAAAGTTTCGATAAGGCAAAATCACAATGTTAATGAGTGAATCAAAAATTGTAATGACATTTTTTTAAAAAATGTGCATTTCAAACGTAAAAAAATGTTCACCTTAATTTATAATATATTTTTCCAATGTGCGTTAAATTATTACATGAACACTGGAGTACTCCAGTTTGATAAGGTTAATATTTACAAAACTGAATCCTGAATGAGCAAAAAGTTTGTTCAACGTACATAGAACATACACTTGTTTTTCTAACCAAATGACACTCTCGACCTTGTTGATTTTGCGCTATCTGTCCCTATGACACTATCTAAGTTGATTTACATTTAAAGGAGATAAAAAAAAACAGATATTTTTCTGTGATAAGATTAAATTGGAGCTCAACACAAATAAGATAAAAAAATAGTTTTAAACAAAGTTGTTGTTTACTTAAACATACCTCTTCAGAAGTTCCTTATTTCTGCAATAAATGGCTTATACGCTTTATTTTTATTTGATTTCTCTTTAAATGCACGCTACTGGTGTTTTTAGCATTTTCAGATTTAAAAAAATGAAATTTAAAGTTATATATTGAATAGTTATTTAAGAAATATGTATATTTTATTTAGTAGTACAGTAGAACAAGAAAAATTTTCTCACATTGTAGGTTGAAGGCCTGGAGAGCTGGGGTAGTGTGTAAGTAATGATATGCACTTGCAAGAGTTTTAAAAAAATTCATAGTATTGTCAGTGTCAGTTATACTACTTTCATCGTGATATTGAACGGTAACTGTATGGACAAAGCTTGACTGTCCCTGAACATCCTCATCTGCTGATTCTTGCTGCTGTCTCAGGCGTGTTTCAGCATTTCACCACCTTCTGTGTAAATTTATTTTACAAACTTATAAAGGGACATGATAGGCAAAACTGGCCAACCACTGAAGATGGCAAGATACCAAAACACTTCTGACAGAAAACTAGTGAGAATAAGCAGATGATGATAAAAGAGGATCAAGCCGATAGGTTCAGCTCTTCACAGACTTTAAAAAAATATTAAACAAACAAAATGTGTAATAACACGTTTTCTTGATCGACTTGTTTGCATGTTTATCATATTATTTTACCAAAACACTCTAAAAACAATGTACAGTAAACATAGCATAGAGCAGAATAATAGCAATCATTAGGATTTTTAAAAGAAATTAATTACTACTGTACACATGAATTCAATTTATTAGGCTTAAAAAAAGGGATAATAATCCATGCTTCAGCATTGTATAAAAAGTCCATTTTTGTCATATAGAATTGGGTCGACGAGATAATCGACTTGGATAATACTCTAGGAAGGTAAGAATAATTGGAATAACACCTTCAAAACTTCAACAATTATAAACCATCTTACGTCAATGATGGGATCACAAACCTATTGAAAAGAAAGCAAATAATGTTCCTTGATCAAAATTGAGGAACCTTCACATATTGTAAATGACATCCAGTCACCATCGAAACTATTTTAAAATATCACCAATCCTTTTCCTCCCTCAGTGATTATTTTGTTTGATTCTATTAGAAATTTAACAAAAGAAAATTATCACAAATATTAAAGGAAATATCACTTTAAGTCAATTAGAACGATTAATTTTGCCTTTTACAATTATATACGTAAGTTTTCCAAAAACAAGTTGTCATGTGTTAAAGTACCTCGTGTTAATAATTGGTCTGTAATTATAACGAACTTTATTTATATATCATCTGTCCTCTACACAAGCTTATGCTTTAGAGGGCAAGCTAACAATAAAAATAGTAAAAATTCTATTACTATATGTCAAAATTGTTTAGCAAAAAATATGCAAATAAATAAATATAATTGTTAATTAAGGCAATAGTTACATAGAAATTAACTATGGCAAATATATGCCAAGATGCCCAAGACTGCAGAATCTTCTCCATCACAGTAAGGGACTGAATAGATTTTTTTTTCTGAATAATTTGCAATCTTGCTGGGTGGTAATTTTATGCCATTAGATATCCATAAGTAACTTTGAATGCCCTTTGTGGTTGTTATATGAACGAATATGCCATACATTTGTAAGAAAGTTCATTGTCAATCATTTTGATGTCTCAAACGAGGGAATCAAAGTAAAACAGTACTTTCAGCATTTTAGCATTAATCTCTCCTTGATGTCAAAAATAAAATTGAAATATTTAATAAATCAAGGAGATCAGGGATGAAGCCTTGAAGGTTAAAAAAAATCAACTTTTTTCTGATGTTGAGCTTTCGGCGTATTTGTCGGCCTTCCTCAGGACTATTTAATAGAATAGCATCCCCCGTCTGATACTATACTCAAATATTTAATTTAATTCATTCAGAAGAGCTTTTTTGAAACAATATTTTAAGAGCTAAAAAGGGGGGTTATTTTGTTGTTTTGAATGCATTAATTAACAAGTATCAAACTTTTATCAGATTATTTATTCGATTGAATACTCTTGATGCAGCCCGATTTTAACACTCGATCCTATTTGTACAGTCTTTCTTAAATAACGCCATTTGGTAAGGCCCAGGAGGGCTTTTGGTATTACAATTTGGGTTTTGTTTTTAACCATCTCGTACTTCTGTATTCACAGTTTGAGTTTAGAATGAGGCATTTCTTAGGTTCATCTTTTTCTCTTGATGACCTCTGACTTTTTGATATTAAAAGTTAAAAAAAAATAAAAGTCAGGGATGCAAATCTTTTTTTTTTTTCATCACTATTATTTCATAATATTACAAAATGACAATCTTAGATCTACTATCTGACTTGTGTACAGAAATAATGATAAAATCTGACCTGTTTTGAAATTAACTTGAAAGAATTTTTTTTTTCTCACCTACAATAATGACTAATGACTTTTCCGCATCTTTATATGTACTATCTCAATAATGTTAAGCATACACTATTAAGTCACAAACTAGATAGCAGAACAGACAAAACACTGTCGACTTCATATTCACTTTATATAGAAGTTAAATAATTTTTAAAATATTATGGCAAGCTGTGAGAATGGCATAGTTCAGTGTTGTTGGCAGTCCGAGGTCACACCACTGTCTTGTCCGTCTTGCTCACCAAAATTAAGCTTTGGGGCTATCATCTAGGTTATCTCAACCCCCAACGCGTACAGTTTTTACACCTAGACACACTAACACTCACCGTTTTTCCTATTTACAAACCATTTGCTCAAATAGGGTGATGAAGTACTCGAGTAAACATGAGTTAAAGCCAGTTCATTTTAGTTATTTTATTATTATTTGGGGAAAGTTGAAATTTTATAAGGCTGAAATCGTAATCTTGTGCTTTAGATCTTTAGATATTTTCTCACAATAATCATTTCTTTTTGAATTACAATTCATTTGTTTGTACATTACAACCCAATACAATAACTAACATTTGAAATATTTAATTATTTATAAAAGTAAGAATAGACTAACATGGTTAATACTGTTTTGAGTATGCTGTGTTTTGTATTTTTGTATTAATTATTTAATTAATTTAATGCTTAAAAACTATTATATAAATATAAATCAACCACAAATCACATATCGCACATTTTGAAATAGTTGGTATTTACATTTTCAAAATCGTTTATTTACTAACATTAACTGATCTGTAGATTTGACACATTAATTACATTCTAATTAAAAATTAAACTCTGCTTTCATTAATAATTATTCAAATAAAAAACATTTCAGTATACATTTATTTAGTGGTTTTCTTCCGAATCTGGGATTTATTCAATAATTAGACAGGAAAAAATATTTAACAATAAGTCATGTATTCCTTTAATAAACTTCTGATATATTTATATATTACTGAACCATTTACTTTACTACACAGTTTCTACTTTAGTACATGCATTTCAGCTTGACATAGATCATCCTTTGAATTAATAAATGTTTCTTTCTTTTTTGTTATTATATTAAATATATATTATATTAAAATTATAAATGAATATAATTATCCGACCAGTCATAATAATTTTTGACAATAATTCAACAACTTAATGACACAGCTAAACTTCACTAAATAAAATGGCTAACTATTGCTTATTAGCTGCAAAGCATGCCCATTGAGTACACAAAATATTGTCAAACATTCTAGTTATATATATATACTTCTTACAATATATTCACATTCATTGTATTAATTTATTTTAAATTGTTTTTATTAGGCCGACACCATTATCTGTGTCTTTCATGAAGGAGGCGACGAAGTTGTAGATGACGATGAGAGCACTCCATTGGTAAGTACATCCCCAAGCCCGGGGACACCGATCGGCACGACCCCAGTCATACCAACTGCCCCAGTTATAATCACAACTTCTTCGGAATCTCTACACCAACGGAATCGGAGACATTCTCCTATCACAAAGCAGACTTCTTGTGATCCTGAAACCACGGTTTGATCTTTTTTTACGTGTTGTTATTTACAATTTGCTCTATTGCACAAGCCCCAATGTTTAGAGCATTTGATTGAAAACCTAACAGTATTATTTTCAATTATTTTTAATGGGGGTCCATTTAATCAGTTATAAGAAAACAGGATTATTTTTTTAAGTTATGAAAATCATGGTTTTGTTAGTGGTCCATGGTTCATTTCATCTTTTTTTTAAACACCTTATTTATATAAATTTGTTCCTTTATTACTTAAAAAGCAATTCTATAGGCTTTAATTAGTTATATGTTTTAGAATCCTACAATATTAATAATTTAGGGTTTAGTTCCAAATAAATAAACTATGAGAAATAGAGTAGAAATAACAAAAGTAAAAGAAAATCTAATTTTCCTACTCTCCGGTGAATATATAGTTACGGAGTGAAAGTACCCAAAACTTAAATTCTTGAAATTTCATTCCTTTTATTAGTGATATTTATGTATTAAATTTGATTTCACTATTTTTCACATTTCTAGTTTTAAAAAGATGAATTGAATGAATTACACTTTATAGAAGTTGTTCTTCCATTTTATGGGAAAATACATTTTTAAAAAATCACCAATGCACATACCACAATCATCAAAATAGTTCAAAATTAGACTTAACTTATAAGAAGAAAATCAAATAAATTTATTTTTTATTGTTACTATCCTTGTGTAAGTTTATTGGTTTAAAAAGCATTACCAAATCAAACTAATTTTACCTGCATGGTTTACAGTATTAAGGTGTGTGTTAATTTGTGATATTACATTAATATTTTTAAATGTCCATGTAAGCTATTTTTTCCAAAGTTGTAAAACGTGTGTGAAAGTGTAATTTTTTAATCAAAGTTGTTTTTGTTATATACACTCCTTACGTTATAATTATTGTTTACAGAACATAAATTTCACAATGTATATCTGAAAAATGTAATAAATTAGCAATAAATTCATTATTCTAATAAATAAATTAAAAAAGATTTTATATGTATCTTGTTACTTCTGTCCTTCTCATGTTTTTACATGTGTGTTTCAGTTCAAGTGGTAACTTGAAAAGAAAAAATCTCGTCTAGATTTTATTAATACATATTTAAATCGCTCATCCTCTACAACATTACACACTGTAACCAATATTGGAAGTTTCTAGAGATATTCATTAATCTTTATTTTTACCAGATCCCAATGCATTGTTAAGAACTCGTGTATTTGGCATTTCCTCTCCAAGAAGTAGGATTCTCTGCCTCTATAGGCCTTCGCACAGGTATTTGATGGGTAAAGATCAAATTACCCCATCACCCTGCAGACCACATGAGGAAATCTCACATTTCATAATTGAACAATACTGATTGCACACACGTAAATATAAATAACACACAAGTTGACATTTTGATTAATACGACATTTTTCTAAATCTGCATCTAAAGTCTGATTTATTTGTAAAGTAAACAAGTTATATAAATGTTAGTTATAAAATTAAGAAGGGTACGCAGATGATATTGTCATAATAGTCAGAGGCAAATTCAACCAGTCTGGGAGGAAAGTGAAAATGAAAATACAAAATACAGTCAGAGGAAGAAAATTAAAAGAGTGAGGGGGAGAGAGAGAAATATACAGAGAAAGAAGAAGAGTGAGAGAGACAAAGAAAGATGAAAGAGATAGAGAAAGATAAATATATAGAAGAAGCAAAAGAGAGAGAGAGACAGACAACGATAAATATATAGATTATAGATAAAGAAAGAAGAAAAGGAGAGAGAGAGAAAGATAAATATACCGAAGAAGAGAGAGAGAGTGACAGAGATAAATAAATATATAGATAGAGATAGAAGAAGAGACAGAAAAAGATAATATATAGAAGAAGATAGAGAGGGAGAAAAATAAATATACAGAAGAAGAAGAAATGGAGAAAAAGGTAAATATACAGAAGAAAAAGAGAGAGATAAATATGTAGATATATAGAGAAAGAAGTGAGAGAGATAAAGAAAGTTAAATATATGAAATATAGAGAAAGAAGAGATTGAGAGAGAAAGAAACATAAAAATATAGAAATATAGAGAAAGAAGAAGAAAATGAAGGAGAGAGGGGAAGAAAAATATACAGAGAAGAAAAAGAAGACAGAGAAATATAAATAAACAGAAGAAGAAAAAGGAGGAGATAGAGAGAGACAGAAAGATAAATATACAGAAGAAGAAAAAGAAGAGAGAGAGTCTGTGAAAGATAAATACATAGATAGAGAAAGAAGAAGACACAGAGAGAGAAATATGTAGATATTTAGAGAACGAAGAAGAGAGTGAGAGAGACAAAGAAAGATAGATTGAAATATAGAGATAGACGAAAACAGAAGAGAGAGGAGAGACAGAGGGAGAAGAAAAAGGAGAAGAGATAGAGACACAGAGAACAATAAATATACAAAAGAAGAGAGTCAGAGACAGACAGAAAAAAACATAAATGTACAGAAAGAAAATGAAGAATATTAAATGTGATAATCGGGTAGTTGTAATAAAACTTGAAAGATAAGATGGGCGAATATCGAAAAAATTGTATGTAAAATAGAAATATTAAAGTAAAAGTTTACTTCAAACAAATTAAAATATGCTGCTTTATTGTCTCTGAGAATGTAATAAAGAGGATTACTTTTAAAAACTGTAAATTATGTACAAGTTGAAAGGAGGTGTGTATTCTTGATTTGCGGTAGATGGGATGAATATATACATCTTTCAAATGGAGAGTGAAAGTAATTTAATTTTACAAAATTAATTAACGGTTGAATGCAGTCCGATCCGAAAAAATCAGTAGAAGTGGTTATCAATTATGATGATTATGATCAATCAAGCAATATCAATTTAAATATTTTATAATCAAATATCCTCCTAGGTGGAATTTAGTGCATATTGTGATTCTTCCAGTGTTTTATGCGTTATAAGTGTTTTTATTATGTTTTACTTCTTTTTTGCTTAGTTTGTGGATTATAGGTGTTGAGAAATGTAAATATGTAATATTAAGTTGAACGGTATTTTGATTTGTTTTTTAATTGGCGGGATTGGTTGTTGGTTCGGGCGGTGGCGCGCCCTGCGCAGCAGCCCTTGGCCGAAGGATCGCCGCTCCCCCCACGGCATCTCGCCCTTCCTCGCCGTCCCACCGACCACCTCTTTTAGTACACAAAAACCCCAACCGTCGTCGAGGGATATGCTCTACCGTCGTGGAAGCCATGATTCGACTCTGGTGCTTTTTCGTCCACGGGCTCACCAGCTGAACACCGTCTGTGACATGTAGCTCTCGGACGTACGATTTTAAAGTTTAAGTGATGATTGTGATATAGTTTAGTTATGAACAATGTTTGGTGCTTTTGGGAATATTGTGTTTTTAATCCTACTGGTGCCATACATAGAGAGTGGTAAGTGGTCATCTTCCGTTATCCACCATTGACTTTTTTTCTACTATTATTTTTCTCCTTTATTCTTCAAAGAAGCTTTCCTGGAGAAGGAAAGGTACCACTTTTGATGAAGACGTTTTACAGTTCCGTTGCCCTTTGTTTTCAAAACAACGGGATAGGTTATGTATCTATGTCAAAAATGACGGGCGAATACATGGGTCGTTATTACCTGGGAAAATCCTGAAATTTCTGCTGACCACCCTTCTTAAAAAAGAGTTCTTCTTAAAAAAACAAAACAAAAAACAACCAATTCGTTTCTAGTCAAATTTCCGGGGACTTCAATATTAACTTTATAATCCGACAAATACAGTTTAATAAAGTATTTCCTTCTAATTTTTCGACCTCTTTCAGTCGTTGAGAACATAAGAGATAGCAAACGTTTGTATAGGGAAACATGAAATTCAATTCACAGGCTAGACTTTGTAAACGACATGTTGAAAAAAATGACTTAAAATAACAATAAAAACTCCGATAATTGTAATATCCGACGACTTTGAAAATGGTAGAAGCTTTTGATGGTTGTCTGGTTCCTGAAAAGAAACCTAAGAAATATAACAAGTCAACATTTGTATTCTATAATTATTTTTTCCAACCAATGTACATTTTGTAATTCACCCAGGCCCTGAAGATTACCCCAATAAAGGTAGAAAAAATTTTAAAAAAATTAAAAAAGGTGTTTTTCTAAAACACTATTCCTGACCGGTCCTCACTACAAATTATTAAACAACCGGTCGCTAATTAACACACGTTTCTACATAGAAATTTTGATCTGGCGAATCAATGTAAACTCTTCATTTTCTAAAATAAACCATCTTCATTATTAACCAAAAAAAAAAAAATTATGATTTATAGGACGTAACAGATTGGTGAATCTCAAATTTAAACTGTTCACCAACAGATAACCTAAACAGTTATGTAAAACCATTACCTACACTTACGAACTATAACTTATAAGTAAAGACAGCTATTTGTATGTCTGGCGACTATTGTTGGCTTCATTATTAACATAGTTGGGGAATCATATTTTAAATTAATGATCGAAAGAAAACCTAAACAGCTTTGTAAAAAAATCATGGTTAAAAAATGAACTCTACATACAAAGCAAGTTAAGACAGACATTTTAATGTCTGCCGACATCAAGGTAAACTCTTAACTAATTCATTAACATAATCGTATGAATTACATTTATCAGTTGTGTTCACAAATAGACAACTTTTTCAAAAGACAATATAATTAATGACCAGCAAGTTATAAATTAAATTTGGCTAAATTTACAATGACATGATCAAACACCTTCGTGATAGTCGTCATAATCAAATTGTCAGTATGATGTCACAAGTATAAAAACCTAGACAGCTTTAAAAAATATATATCGTTGCAAAACGAACTCTATATACAATATATGAAGATAGTTTCCTAAGACCAGCAGTTTCTTTTTTATAACGTGACAGCAATATGTACTGTATTATACTATATCTACAATTTCTAAGATAAAACATTTATTATAATAAGTTAAAACTGGTTATTTTTAGAACGTAACAGAGATTCGTGAAAATAAATTGTAGTCTGTGTTGACTATCAGATAACCTAAACAACTGTAGAAACCCTAGAACTATAACTAGTAAAGGCAGCTAATTTGCATGTCTGGTAACTATTGTTGGCTTTATAATGGTCATAATTACTCGAATACAAATACATACATACATAATTACATATACAATAAATACATAATTACTCTCCATTACAAAGAAAACCAATTCATTAGTAACATAGTTGTATTTGTGTAGTAGGTAACACACAGACAAAACAACTTTTTAAAGGAAATCATGGTTCAAAACTGACCAGTTATAAATCATACCTGGCTGAAACATAAATTATCTGGCTACTTTATAATGTCCTTAATTAATTGATTAATACCTTCGAGATAATCGTTGTAATCAAATCTTCACTGTGTTGTTTCAAAAAGAAAACCTAGATAGGTTTAAAAAAGATATCACAAGCAGAAAATCCAGAGGGGCTTGGTAAAAGGCAACATGATTGAAAAATACCTGCAGTGTTATAACTTTACTTTATTATACCTTGCTAAAACTATGTCTGTCTGGCGAATAACTTAGCAATATCGGTAGAGCACTGTTAAGGCTTACTTTCTTTAAATTTTCTACTTATGTGTAATTGTGGAACTGGCGACTTTACAGTATCCTGAATTACTTGATTAAACACCTTTGTGATAGTCGTTACAATAAAATTGTCAATATGTTATTACAATTAGACAACCTACACAATTTGTACCAAAACATTTTGAAAAATTACGTACAATTACAAACTAAACGTGAGAATCATATTTTAGTCTATGTTCACAAACAGGTAATCTAAGCAGCATTGCCACATATTTACCTACTCCTACGGACTATAGCGAGTATAAACTAGTAAAAGCATCTAATTAGTATATCTGGCGATTACACCATTAACTTCAAAAAGTCTTTAATGACAAGGAACTCCCCCCCCATTTAAAATAAAACCGATTTATTAGAATGTATTAATTAGTAACATTTTAAGTCTTTTTTTTTAATAGGACCCCTAGCCAACCCTAACTATAGACAATCTAGAGATTTTTGTGAAAAAAAACATAGTTAAAATGCTGGCTGCAATAATAAACCATAACTAGCAACAAAACAGTCAACTGCAAGGTCTTTAGGTCAAATTTCCTCAATTACTATTAATACCTTTTATTAAAAACAAAACTCATTTAGTAGGATGTAGCTTAGTTCAGAATAGCATATAACTAGCTAAAACCGTCTATTTCGGGCGAATAACTCCCCTAATAATAATAACAACATCGGTCGTAAACTTTTAAAACATGCTTTCTCTAATTTTTCTATCTCTATTGAATGGTAAAAATTATAGTAGGAAGTAACGTTTTAAGCCTGTTACAAAGAGTAAACTTTAAAAGCTTTATGAAAGTAAACATGGTTTAAAAATGACCTGGAATTAGAACCAAAATTATTTCTACGTTGAGAGGCTTCTGTGTTCAATTTACAATCTCTATATTTTCTAGGTTCATTGTAATCAATCTAGTAGTAAAAAAATTAGCAGTGAGAATCACATTAAAAGTCGTGAAAGTTTTTTTTACTTACTACTAACTTGTTTGCGAAGCATTACTTACAATTACAAATTACACCTAGCAAAAACCCTATAATGGTTGAAGTATGTCTGGCGACTTAAGTATTAACTTAAAAATTTCTAGGCAAAACACCTTCATTAAAGACAAAAAACAAGTAACATAGTTATGAGAATAACATTTTTAATTTTTGTGTTCACAAACAGAAAATAAACATCCTTGTAGAAATGTTTACATCTGCGAACTATGAATCGTAAAAACATTAATAATAATAAAGCATTTCATCGTCCCTGGTTAATGCAATTTCGAAGGTACAATTTAGAATCGTATTTCCTTGACCTTTCCTTTTTGCCCGGCAACAAGCCACAACTTTCAACGCTCGTTTATCTGTACGAAGCAACAAAATTCCATTTAATACGCAATGAACTTTAAACAAAGTTATCTTTATTATTATTTTTTTGCTGAAAACTGTAAATACTTGTTTAATACAAAAGATAGCCAAAACTGTGTTCTATCAAAACTTGTAATCCTAATAAGGCAGTTTTGAAGTTTGATTGATTGGATTTTGAAGAACTGTTTCAGAATCTAAAGCCATAAAACATTTTTAGAATATTTGCTTAAGGACAGAAGACAAAATTCGGAAACAGCCAAAAATACCAATCCTCAAATAAGTATAGTGAACTTTAAAAATATATGAATAAAATGAAAACGATTGAATATATGAATACACAAATTAGAACTATAGTATCAAAACGATGTTTTTATAAAACCTATGTTATGAGGTATGCGATAAATTTTTTTATGGGCAATTTAACATGAAAAAAGTCTAACGCTCACAGCCAAACTGGAAATAGAATAATATGAACAGGGAAACATATTTCAATAAAGGAAAGATAGAGAGGACATGAGAAAAGTTTTAAGGGAAAAAGATTTCTCTTGAGAAACAAGTAATATTCCTCACAAATTGCCTTCGGGAAATCGTAAAAAAACTGAGGGTTGTACATATTGAAAAATTACAACGTGACATGTTTAAGAGCAAAGTTCAAAAATTAAATTAAAATGTACAAGAGAATTTTGAGATTTGAGACTTCCTTCTGTTTGACTCTAATTTTAAAACGTTTTTAGACTGTAAAAAATAAATTACCATTTACTTATTTACACGTACAGCGCCAATCAATATTAATTTACCAACAATAAGCCATAGGCAACCTTGGATAACTGGAAGATAAAAAAGATCAATCAGTTTTAAATAAAACTAACATTAATCACTTGTCAATAGAACTTTAATAGGTTCATCCCATATAAGCATCAACCAGATCCATAAACATCAATCAGCTGTAAAGAAAAAATCAGTCAGTTGCCATTTTAACTTTAATGAGTTTGTCCCTTAACTGAATCAACCAGTTTAAAAACAGGCATCAAGCACCTGTAAGTCTAAACTAAATCAATTTGTAAAACAAATACCCGTCAATTGAATTGCAAACACCAACCATTGGTAGAACGAAGAAAAAAAATTCAGTCAGTTTGAAAAAAAAAGTCAGCCACTTTGAAAACAAATATCAATCAGGTGTAGCTATAAAAATCAATCATTTCCACAATAAATTAACATTAAAATCAATATATATCTGCTATAGAAGTATTAGTTTCCAAAGATGAAAGCAATGAAACAGAATTTAAAAGCAATAAGTTTGTTTTTCAAATAGTGTATTGTGTGCTTTAAAAAAAAAGTTTTTGAAATGTTAAAAATGTCATATTTGTTTTTATCATAACTCATGCTATAGGATTTTTTATTTATATTATATGCCCTCCTCGTGTGATTTTATGGAAAGGTAGAGAATTTAGG